ATTCAGTCAGCTAAAGCAGCACTTCTTGGTCTGTTAGCAATTTAAGAAGAGATTAAACAACACTCACTGAAGAATTCATGCTTTTCTAAATCAGTACAGTTAGACAACATGCAAGCACATGTTCCAAAAGTTTTGCTCATAAAATATTTTTCTACTATGTTTCCATAAAATCCTAGAATACTTACAGAGTTAGTATCAGGAAAATATTTAAAAAGGACAAGCAGGATGACCCACACAATTATAACGCAGTTCCTCTGATATTAGTTTGAAGGACCACAAAAGTAAAGTTGAATTCAATTAACAGCTCAAAAAAGAAAAATATTTAACATCACTAAAAAGACTGCAAATACAACTGAAAAAAAAATTACTTCATGGATACAATATGTTCTGACTTGGCATAACATGGTATTGTTACAACAGCGCTATGTATCAGTAAGGTACACATTAAATGGTCACGGACTGCCTCCCTACCTGAGAAATGAAGTAGCAGCATTGTCAGCTGAAAGGAAACTGCGAAGACCCATTCCAGACACAATACTTCAATGCTTTTATTATCCTTGATCTAGAACGACATTGACAGTCTACCTCAAGGTAAAAACACCACCTGCTGCTTCTCTATTACTACAGAAATAAATTAGAGAAATTTGAGATGATCTGACCTTGACAAACCCTCTTACTAATCTCCTAAATACTTAAAAGACCAGCTGTGTTTTCACATATTTTTCTGTGAACTCAAAATAAGCTGATTTACAGCTAATTTCAACCAATTAGCCTATAAAAAGAAAAAAAAACCCACAAAAATTAATCGATGTACAAGTAGATTCTCACCTAGGAAATGATTACTAAACAGCTTTAATATCTGCTCTTGCTTTTTTTTCAAAAGGATGAGAACATAAAACATTGAAAGGAGAAAGTGTCACTGTAAAGAGCTGAAGTGAAATATTTCCACATCTGACCTATATGAAACATCTGATCACTCTTTTAAATTGAGTACTTAATTTCAATTTTATGGACTGCATTTCAACACTATGTCTTCTTATTGCTCTTTACTGGGAATTGTAATATATGGCTCTGTTCTTTTGTATGGAAACCCCTCAATTCTCAACATATACCTAGTCACCTCATCTCCATGATGTACCAGCATAGAGGGAAAACATTTCTTCCAGAAAACTCGATTGCTAGGAGGAAGCAGCAGCTAAAACTACAGGGATCACACATGAATGTGAAAATACAAAAGTAATTTTTTTTCTAATTCACTGAAAATGAATCCTACTGGTCAGCTCAAAGAAGAAAATACCAGTCTAAATTACATCAGGAAAGACAGACACAAAACAATCAAATATAAATGTTATGGGTCCCATCTCAGCTAGACAAAGCCTGGTTTTCAGTCATCTATTACCAGAGAAACAAAGAAAAACTACCATCTCTGTAGAAGGTTTCAAGACAAAATCTTGGATTTCTTCTTAAAGACAAACAGCTTAAAAAAATTATGCAGCACAGCAAACTAGATTAAAATGAATCTGAAGAGGACACAACTACAAGAACAGAAGACAGAATTCCTCACAGGAGATCATTTAACATCATACATTAAAAAATAAAAATAAAAAAGCGTTAAATTATGTTGTTGTGGTTTAACCCCATCTGGCAACTAAGCCCCACACAGCCGCCCGCTCACTCCCCCACTGTGGGATGGGGGGGAGAATCAGAAGGGTAAAAGTGAGAAAACTCATGAGTTGAGATAAAGACAGTTTAATAGGTAAAGCAAAAGCCACACACACAAGCAAAGCAAAGCAAGGAATTCATTCACTCCTTCCCATCGGCAGGCAGGTGTCCAGCCATCTCCAGGAAAGCAGGGCTCCATCACGCGTAACGGTTACTTGGGAAGACAAACGCCATCACTCCGAACATCCCCCCCTCCTTCTTCCCCCAGCTTTATATGCTGAGCATGACATCATATGGTATGGGATATCCCTTTGGTCAGTTGGGGTCAGCTGTCGCAGCCGTGTCCCCTCCCAGCTTCTTGTGCACCTCCAGCCTGCTCGCTGGTGGGGTGGGGTGAGGAGCAGAAAAGACCTTGACCCTGTGTAAGCACTGCTCAGCAGTAACGAAAACATCCCTGTGTTATCAACACTGTTTTCGGCACAAATCCAAAACACAGCTCCATACCAGCTACTGTGAAGAAAATTAACTCTATCCCAGCCAAAACCAGCACATAAGTCTTCTAGGATTTGATTTTGTGGGTTTGGGGTGGGTTTTTTGTCTTGTTTTGTTGTTTTGGGTTTGTTATTTTGTTTGTTTCTGGTTTTTTTTTTCTTCTCCAAAGAAAAGAAAAAATCATCCGTCAAAGGCTGATGAAAACTTTTGATAATTCAGGAAGTAAACTAATCAAACAATAAACAGCAGTTTAAATGAAGCAGTAAAACTAGCACTATTTTTTTCTACAGCAACACATAATCCTATATAGCTGATGCTAACTGGTCAGCTATATGAGCCAAATTATGTACGTTCTGCAAATTAATTCTCATTTAAATTTCATACTTAGAAGAGTAGGATGTTAAAACTACAGCTGTGTATCTTAACTATTCTGTTTAAATTTACTTACCAAACACCTCACTAGTTTGAAGTATGCAACAGATACTCAGAATTTGCATTCGTAACGTTAAGGTTCTACACATTAGTTACATTAAAAAAAAAAAATCTGAAACTATTATTTCATGAAATATGATGAACTAGCAATTTACTAAAAATCTAAAACAACAGGAAAACTTCATTCTAGGTACATTACCATCATCAACACATGTATTGCATAAAAACTATGCCAGATAGTAAAAATGTTTAGATTCCCAGTCTAACCGAACAGCGAGTTCTTACATTTCTTATACATACTTTTTGACAAAGTAAGTAAATTTCCTCATTTGTGAGGGAGCAGGAGAAATTCAATACCTGCAACATGTATTTCACATCGTCTTTTTATTATTTTTACATATAAATATTGTAGTGTAAAAGCAACTTCTGTCTGAGATATACGTATGACCATGACTGTCATATCCTCATGGAATATTAATATACATGAAACAAAAATATGTTACACAGATAGTAATTCCACTGTGATTTCACCTACCACGTCATTGTACTTACCTTGGAATATAGCTTTATAGATTAAGCAGTTTGTTTGATACAGTGTCAAGTTGCAAAGCACTCCTTTCTTGTTTTGTGTCCTTTGCAAACTACAAGCCTATTATCCATCAACATGCTTTGCATATCAAAAATACTCACCATCCACCAGTAATTTATCAGAAAGATAACACAAAAAATGCCGCACCATTTTAAAATAGTATGAATTCACATCTATTTAAATACAAATTTCAGTTAAAGAGAACTTAAATATCAATTAAATATTGCTTAAAAAAAAAAAATCCATTTCCTTTAAAAACTGAAGACAGAAGGTACCAAAAGATATCGTAATATCAATTTTCAATAATCAGCTCTTTTTTGTCATACCTTAGCACACTGTGTGAATATTACATAAAGCCTCAATAAATTTTATCAATTTATTATGGCTTAAAGTAATATAGAGTAAATAAAATGAGTCCTCCTAAAACCTTTTTATCTTCCTCCCACTTAAAAACTTTGGGATAACTGAAGTATTACTGACAATTTACAATGATTTCTGCGATTCTTTTGAGACATGGAAAAAGATAACTGTGAAAACTAAAATACAGTAACATAATTGGTATGAATAACAGACAATGAGGGAAGATAATTAATATAGTTGGAGAGCTTCTTTTTTTATATATACACACATAATTCAATATATTAACAGTCCATGTGCTACTGAAGCATTTAAAATTATTTTTCAAATAATTAAAACAACTACTAAAATGTGAAACTGCACATTTCAACTTTTATAGTTAATAGAATCTCTTATGAAAATGTTATTGCAGATATACATTAAATTGTACAAATTTAGATTTGCACAATAGGTGTAGAAAACCACAAAAAGATACTTCATTATATAACTGGATTTTTAACTTTCATGGTATTCATGAAAAGATGAAGTAATTTTTAGGGCCTATTCAAAAATTGTCTATAAGTAAAAAAAATTATGCTGGCTTCAGAATTTTCAAAATTCTGATGGCTATTACACCAAATCAGTAATAGAAAACCATGAAAATTCTTTTAGCTACGTACTCACGTTCTTGACAAAACTTCCTATTCAGGATTTACTCATTCAGCATATAAGGAAATCAAATGTAGTTAGACCTGAAGACAGGTTATTTCAGCTAGCAGGTTAGTAATAATGTTCATCTGTATAAAATCCTACAAGCTTGAAAATAATAAACACTGTTGCATTGAACTAGTAAAACAACACTGAAGACAAATATATTTTATTAATACAGCAAGCTGTTAGAAAGCAAGCAGAGTGAACACTTACAAATCCATGATTTTTTAAGAGAAAAAGGGCAGTAAATTAGTCAATCTCCATGCTGGCTCATTCTTTGTTATGTGCTAAACAGACTACATTGGCTGTGCCAAAATTAGGAATGCAACATGGTTTTACAGAATTATATCCACTATTTATATTGAATTGATGCATCCCAACTGTAGACTGGGACTTGACAGCCTATTGCTTTAATACTTCATTTTTATTGTAAATGAAATAAATTGACTTAGAAAGACAGAGCTGTGAAATTTGGGGGTTTTAGTGATAAAATTTAGCTTTTTTTCGTCAGCACAAAAAAGTTGGTGGTGTGCAGGCACCATCATAGTTGATATATTACCACTGAGAAAAAACAAACAAACAAAAAAACTAACTCAGGTTGCACAGTTTAAGGCTGGTGAATACTGTATTGGCAGAATGTTGCTCCAGGTGCCAAGATGAGCTTCTGAGACAAAAAAAACCAACCACCACAACTGAAACCAGAAAATACATGCCAAAATTTTGCCAATTGGCAATACATGCCAAATAGAACAAAAGGACAATTCAGGACATAATTGTTTTAAAAAAAATCTCCTAAAAGATAAGACGACTAAATGACAATCACTAAAATTGGTTATTACATAAATAACCTCTTCTTCTGGGGCTTTAATTCTCTTTTAAAATATATCTAATATGACCTCTTCTTTAAAAAAAACTGCTCAACAGTTACTTGATATATGACAACATCATTGTCTTAGGTTTATGAAGGAAGACTCTGCTATATGTCATACTATATTAAATATTTTACTAAAATCAAAGTTATTACAACTGTAATAAATATAGCTTTAAAAAACATTTAATGTACAATTTTATTTACACGCAAGTCCATTAAAGGAACAACCTCCAGAAGAAAATGGTCTTGAAATGGGCCTATTTAAAACACAGAAGATCCACTACTTTATTGGAGGCGATGATGTGTTTTAGAAGGGCAAGAAACAGATTTTTATTAACTGACTGCAACTGTGTTATCGGCTACTGGAAATACTGAAAGAATTCCATGAGTCTGTATTGCCTCCCCACCTATGTCTTCGCTGCAGAGGTGGCCTTTGAGTGTTTTTGTGGGGAGGTACCACTGAATTCATGACAATAGGTATGGATATTTGATATTCATATCGTTCCAACATCTGAGCAATCTTCTCACGAGTGACCCCATGCTTATTCCTCCTACAAAAATAAAAATTTAAATAAATTGTCTTGTATGTTTATATGTTTACAGTCTTTAAGAAAAAGAAAAAAGCCTCTAACTTAACAATTTTTCTTCTTGCTTTTCATATTTGAAATTTCATTTTTATTACACTGTATCCTCATTCTCTCAGTATTCAACTTGTGTTAAGGTTTATTTTAACAATTCACCACTGCATATATTAAATAACAGAAAACAATACAGTCATTCTTCTTCATACAGAATTGTGATGTACTCATCAGGACTATGTACCTAAATAACCCTAGAAGGACTTTGCTTTCTATTTATTAATCAGATTTTACACAGTACACTAGCTAATGAGTAGAGGGATAAGTAATATTATAGATTACTACTTATGACAGCAATGTTCAAACTATCATAAAAAAATGAAACTACATGGTTTCAAGACTTAGTGACAGAATATTTCCTCATCAATAAATCTCTATGTAAAATAAGGAGCAATTTTAGTTTTGAACCAGAACAGCATGCTCATGATACCTTTATGTACTAGCTCTTACTGATACTTGCTGTAAATTTAGAAATGTACCAAAACACATATAAGGGAAGAGAGGCCAAAAGTGTTGTCCTATTCTTGCAGTGTTTAGTGAACAGCTACTTTCAGTGAGAACTTGGCCTATGAAGAACCTGAGACATTAGACATTACATTAGAATGTATCTATCTCCTTAGTATCTATGGAATAGGATTTTAAAATCCATGTTAGCAGAAAATTTCGGTATCTGCCAAAAAGAAAACCATGGCTTATGCACAAACTGAATGTCAGAGAATTGCCAGCACTGTAATAGAACTGAATCTAAAAGAACAGATATAAAACATAAACAAAATGTTTCCATAGTGTATACAAGCACTTATCATAACTCAATATATTCTTATTGAATTCTTATTCTTATTCAAGAAACCTTGTCCAAGTTGAATTATTTCCAATAGGGAATATACCAATAGGGAATATATGCCTGGGTCTTTGTGCATACTGCCAGGGACAGAAGAGGCATGGGCCTCCTTACCAACTTGCTCAGTTCTGTAGAAGAGAAATCAATACTGGGAACAAACAGGCTATACTGGAAAGAGGATACTCTATACAGAAATATTTTCAAAGACTGATTTCCTTCCGCCCCCCACGCCCCCCGGAGTTTGTGCATATTATTACAAAAAAGAAGTATGTATGAAGTTGATGAGGGTTCAAAGCATACTGCAGGTAGCACACTAGTTTCACACTCAGAATGGAAGAAGAATTGGTGATCTCAGAAGTATTCAGAATTATGCTGCCTCCTTAAGGTGTATTTTATCAGCTTGCTTTCTGGGAAGAAAAGGCTTGAGTAGAGTACTTCTCTCATAGACTTTCTTCCCTGAGAGAACGTCAGAAGCTAAAGTGATCATCACAAGCGGCTCATTGTTTAAATGCTACCAATTTCTACATTGTGCTAAAGAAGTCCATGAGCAGCAGCATGTTGAACTTATTAGTTAACAAATCTTAACAGGTTTGATTTTATTCATGAATATGAACAAGGTTAATGGTAGAGAAAAAAGCCAATCCCCTAGAAATATGGGGATTCTATAAAGCACTTAACTCTCATGACAGAAAAAAACACGAGAAGAGGAAGTCTCAGTCCTTTTATGCCAAATGGTGGAGGCACGAAGTTATTCAATACTTTCTGTATCTTAGTAATCCTAGAAAAAGACTACAGCTCAAGTGCTCTGGGCATAAAGTGCACACTCATCCACAGTTGAATGGACTTGTGTATAATCACTTCATAAATGAGCAAGTACTTTTCCTTAAAGAACAAGGCAGGATAATAAAATCACCAACAGCAAAATCGTATCAAGCATAGAAATTAATTTTAAAAAGGAAGCAAATCTGCTGATAGTGTCATTTAATACTGGGATCTCCTCTTCAGGCATGTCTTCAATCATCCTTTGGCGGCTTGGCTATGCTGAAAGAGCATAAAGCCATCTATCCTTAACCAATACAGACGTACAAAAGCTCCTAATAGATAGTTATGCTTTGGAAGCTGGTTTTGCTTGGAGGAAAACACAATCTATTGATAAAAGCGAAGTTCTGTCGCTATTAAATGCTTCTACACCAGAAGAATCTTACATACCAATATACTGGCAAAGTAATTCTACATAGACATGATTACTTATAAGACTAAGCACAAGTTTAATGAAGTCAATACCAAATTGCAGTTTTATGATCATACTGAAGGAAAAATCATTATATTAAACACGTTTTCACTTCTGTGTGAAGTTACACAGCTGGTAACTTCTTTTAATTTAAAACAACATCCACCCCAAAATACATATTATACAGAGGATACCTGTTATTCCCCAAAAGCTTGAATCAAATGTATACTTTTTCAAAAAAAAGTTCTAGTTCCCAACTGACCAGCTACTCCGAAAGCATACAAACATGACAGAGGGTAATTTTTTCATCCAACACTGATGAAACACTTAAAAAAAGAAAATAATAATAATAAAAAAATTCTCTCTCTTCTACCAGTGATTTTGCCACTCGTTTGTTCTCTCACCTGCAGTTTTCAAGATTTCCTAAAAATGGTACAACGTACAAAATCCTTTATATAAAGATCTAAATGCTACGCAAGAAGTCTTGAGCACTTCCGCAAGACATATGTCTGTGGAGTCAAGATGTTTTCACAAAAGTTATGTGCACAAAACTAAACTAAAAGCAAAATCATTCATGAGGGTCTCTGAAGATAATTTGTACCTCATAGGCACACTGGAAGAAAAAGACACTGACACCTATTCCACACTAAAACATCCGTCACGTTCTTGACATCAAGAATTCACCCAGTGTTGACCTAGAAAGCCTTTTCACAGATTTCTCAAACACACTAAGTGGTGACAGAAACAACCCTATAAAAATAGTATCTGGAAATGCATCTGACTTCTAGAATATCGACATATTATACCACTTGATAAAAGTTACTAACAATCTAGACAGCACCGCTAAAAACAAATAAATGAGGAGCATGTATCCAAAACATAAGAAAAGTCTTTTGCTAATTAAAGCAGGAGGTAGTGTATTTTTTATTCCAACTACCAGAAACAAAGAGTCTTAAGTGATCCTGTTTAGAAGGGAATTAGAATGTACGACTCCAGACAACTAATAAAATTACTCAAATTTATTATTAGCATAGTATTTGCCCAGATACTGCACAAAATGTTGAGATCAAAATTCATAAGGGGAATCCTAAAACTACAATAACATCTCTATTATCTATTTCCCAAACACACAAATATAGAGGGGAAAAAAACCCCCCAACCTTAAAAATTGAGCCCTCTCCCCAAGCAATTGAAAACCAAAATGAAACCTCATATCACCACCATTCCTAAACTCTCAAAAAATAAAGTTTCTAGACAATGGGTCTCTATTCAAATATTTAAAGCAACTGGAGCTGCTAAAACCTTTCTAGGAAGCTTCTAAGAACTGGTAGCAGCACTTCACAGTTCAAGGGTTTTCCTTTGGTTTTGGTAAAGATATAAACTTTACTCCTGCAATTAATGACTGGACAACAAAATTCAACAGTAACCACACTTCACATCTGTTTATCCTGTTACCTGTTAAGGTATGAATTTTCCTGGAAAATGAGTCAGTCTCATGTAATGGAAATCTCACACTGAACATCTTAGAAATGTGTGATTACTAAGACAGCTTCCTAACTTGGCCGTGCTGCACCCCAAACTAGAAAAACATTAGAATTCATCCTACAGAGAGAGGACTCCATCTCTAAAAATAAGTTAGTGGTAGCATAGGAGCAAAAGGGGACAACTTTAAAAGATTTAGAAACACAATAAAGCCCAAGTCAGTAATGTAAGTATTATACACACATACTTTGTGCATTGTAGGGGCTACTTTACAAAGCTGAAACAATTTTAAGACAAGTCAGTTGGAAGCATATAAAATGACAATCAGTGAGAGAACTCTTTGTGATCAACCATGAAAATATTAAATTACATTTCAAACAATGAAATATCCCTAAGTTCGTTTGATACCTCACAGATTCCTAAAGCAGATACATCTGAGACAAAAGAGATGTTAATCAGTAAGCAGCTTTCCAGGCATTCTCACAACCCAGAAGTCCAATGACCTATGTCCAACAGCAGTCTAAGTCAGATCCTCTGAAGACTGGGGACAATTTCACAAAATCTTGCAATAGAATAATCTAAAATATGAGCTGTCTTTTTAACCTTTACTGATTAGTAATGGACTGTTGTTCTTTGACACTGAGACATCTATAAAAGTAGACAAAACAAAGCATTTATATTGATGCACTCCTTGCAAAATGCATAATTTCTTTTTGTCTTCTACCTATTTCTTGCCAACAACTTTCTCAGAATAATTATTCATTATAATAGCAGTGATTCTTGCAGGGGTCAATCATTTTTCTACTCATGTCCAACAAAATTTTGATATTGACTTTTTGGGCCAACACGACAGGACCTCTATTTATTTGCCTGTTTGTTTATCCGTAACACTTCCATTTAAAGGCATATCTCAAATGCCTATTTAATTAAAATACATTTTATAATAGTAGTTAAGTATTTAAAAAAATAAGATACTGAATAAAATATAACGTACTACATATATATTCATGTGTGCATATTTATGTGTCTATCATCTCTATATACAAGTACAATGATTTCTGTAATATAAACCTTACTTTTCTAATTCTTCAGGATCAAACTTCCACCAAGTATCTGGCTCATGGAACTCCACTTTATATCCCTTTTCTAGGGCCTGCAGCAAGCAAAGAAAAATGTGTGATATGTGTATCATTATTACATAAAATGTAACAAAAAGTTTATAGACCAATATAATAAACAGATGTAGTTAACTGCAGTGGTAGCATGCTGAATTTCACTTACCCCCAACCCATCTTAGCTTTCATTCCAGGCTAAGCAGATTAGATCAAGTCAATCCTTAAATTGGTCTGAACTATTACCATACCAATTACTGATCGTATCAATAAGCAGTCTCTTTTTAGAAACTCAAGTAAGGAAAATGTTTCTGGACTAAACAGACCAACTTATCACATGTGAAGGTAAGTTTGAAAACTTGTAACAGATGATATAATCACACAACAAAACCTACCACTTCCACATATGGCTTCATTTCCCAGGCTTGAGTATTAGTGTTGTCTATTATAACTGGAGATTTTCCCTGCTCCATTGCTTGCTTTGCTGCAATGAAAAATAGTGCAAGTTAATAAACAACCATGTAACTCAAATAAAATGACAAATGTAAATAAACTGTTCCAGATGTTTTTTGCACTAATCTAGTCTGACTAAAACACACTGTTCTAAGAAAAGGAATAAAAGCACTGAAAGGTAGAGACAGGAATGGAAAGAAGTAAAAGCAAGAAGGTAAGAAAAATTAAGTGACAGGCACAAAAAAGAGGTGGTGGTGAATTGACGCAAAGGGGTAAATGGGAAGTGTAGAAGTCAAAGCAACACAACAGAACTGCTCAAAGTCTGTGGCCTGCTGAGTATAGAGACCCTGGCATGAAACCGTATCCTGGTTCCAGCTTTACCAGCCCTGCCAGATAACACATGATGCATTCATAACTGAGATCTGTGGTTAGGTATTGCAGTTCTTCTCCAACAAAATGCTAAGACATAGGTGACCTTTACAGAAAGACAGCACATATCTGAAATATTTCTGAGATCCATTAAAAAAAAATTACAACCATGCTGTCTCTGCTTGAACAATGTTTGAACTCACTGGCCAATTTCTACCAAATCCAAAAGAGGGCAGAAGCTTCAGGAATAATAAGCTGCTTCCGAGTTCTATAGAACAGCAACTGGTAAGAAGGCACATCCGTACTAGCATCTTTATTGACAGAAGCATCCTACAGATTACAGTGCAGAACTGAGATTGGTTGGAGGAGTTTAAAGGACAAAACATGCAAATCTGTTGGCTACCTGAGATTCATCAGCTCCACAGCACAGAAAACATTTTAACATTACCCTGATGCCTAAAATGGTATTGCTTCATAAGCCCAAGATTGCTTTTTAGATGCTTATAAATCAATTAAGCATCTATCTTATGCCTAAACCTAACTTTGATCTTGAGATCAGGCATTCTTCTAAATCCCTTATACAGTTAGTCCAGAAAGCATTCTCAGAGGACTCCTAACTCACATTACTAGGATTTGTCCCTGAGAAAAACAACATTGCACAACCACTTTTCTTGAGCACATCTAGAGAGCATGATTATGACGTTCAGCTTCTACATAATGCTACGCGGGAGACTGAACCAAGGAAGTGAAAAACTCAAGTTCTATACCCTTATCAGCTTGATATCCACCTCCATTTTATATAAACCGGGACAACAGTTAAGCTATTCTTACCAGAAGTTCAGAAGGAACTCCTGCAGAGGACAGTACCTAGAGAGGTTACTTGAGTATCCCACTTTTGGGACAAATGGGCGACCTTAATTTTCATTGTTTTAACTTCCTTCACCTTTTTATTTTGAAAGCAAGACCTCTACCATTCTTTGCAGAAAGGGACACAACTTTTACATCTTTAGAAAGGAACTACTTTGTGCATGAATCAGTAAATGAGGTTCTTTTTGCAGCCTGAAACTAAGCCAGATGGAGAAGCAGATTTCCAACTTGTGATTGAGTATCAGATTCATGAAGAAAATTCCTCAACTCCTCCTACAACTACTCTAAAGCATCTTACAATTGAAAGTAAGGCTTTTATAAAATCTATTCCTCAGCTTCTTTGTGCCTAAGTTAATCATTAAAAACATAACAATAATTCTTTCTCTATTTTACAGAAGCATTGTGAAGATGAATTCCATTAAAAAAAAAGCTCTGATGCTACACATTGAAGTCAAGAAAAAAATATTTTTTTCAGTTAATTCTAAGCAGTACTAGCAACGTGAGCCACAAACACATCAAGAACGTCACATTTCAAAATTCTTGCAGGAAAAGAGCAAGGATTCAGTCCTCCTTTTAAAAGATACAGAAAGGGTGCAAAAGCAAAAAAAAAAAAAAAGCATTATTGTTGCAAAGCAAAACTCTGAACCTTAGGAAATACCTGAATTAAGGCTGCGTGTGTACTAATTATAGGGCATATGTATTACCATACTGTCCTTAAACATGCGTTTGTGCACTACTTCCTCCCAAACACTCCTACCTCTTTCAGCACATATGATGGACTTGTTCTGTAGTTGAATCGGGGGTATGAATCAGATCATCAGCATGACCCAAGCATTCCTCTTTTTTTTTTTTTTTTTTTGAAGTAATTGTGAGATAAATAATGAGTAAGTCAGGATGACTGCAAAGGGAGAAGGATCATCTTTCAGTGAATGTTCTTGAACATCATCACAACTCTTTCCAAGTGGCCACTACTTTGCATGATCTTCATTTTCTGGCTGCCCAATTTCAAAAGTTACAGGTCTCATTTACAGAAGTGATATGAATTCATCTGAATATGAAGACAGTGAAAATTTATTCTGAATATATGAAATTTAATTACTACTACATACCCTGAAGAAAATATCTAAATTGCTAAGTTTGGCATCCAAAAAACAAAGATGTTTTTAGCAACTGTGCCTTAGCTTGCCAATGAAAAATTCAGAATATAATACCACTAGTGCTCACAGGAAAGTTAAGATGATGAACTAGATGAAAGAACTGAAATATCTGAAGCTCAAAATACTAAAATAACACTCATACAAAAAAGTTTTCAGAAGAATTAATAATGTTCCATTAAATAAAGTTAAAATAGTATGCATGAAATGAAAAGCAAGATCCACAATGAGTGCGAGGATTAAAAAAATACATCTGTTGAATACCTGCCCATTTAGCGAACACTGCTCAATCTGTACACTGAATGAAGCAGGGATCTGAAGGAAGAAAAACCCTAAGCTACTGGAGAGAACTAGGGATTTATCTTGATGGAAAACAATCCATAAAATGGGAAGATATTAAATGAACAGGCTGGGAAGTAACTTTGTAGATGGAAGGGAGGAAAAAAGCGAAGATAAAATATGTTCCAACAGAGCACTAAGAATCGATGGTATCATGCTGGCTTCATTAACCTGGCACAAATGATCTTTCTGAAACCCGAATCCAGAAAAGAAAAGAGGTAGGCTGACAGAAAAAAGGGAAAAATCCTGAAATATGTGTTTCAAAAAAGACTCATAAAGATAGCACGAGAATAGCCAATTTTGTAATGAAGGTAATGGGACCATCATTAATTTACAAAAGCTTGTGAAGAAAGATTGTATTATAGCTACAACCCACTTATATATTCTACCATTTTGTTTTAACTACGGATCTAAGTGCTAAGTGTGCTGATGTAATAATACCTTAAAGTTTTGTTAAAAGTAAAAAAGTTACTAATTAATTAATTTTATTAGTCACTGTCAAAACCAAACCAAACCAAAGTTTAAAAAGCAGATAAACCCCAACTCCACCTGTCAAGTCAACAATGTTAAAAACACATCAAAGGCAGCCAAAAGTTCCAGCAGAAGTGGCAGGATGAACTAAAATAGGAGACACTTAGCAAAGCCACAAAAGTGAACTTAAAGGGCCTAAAACCCTGTAAGAGTGACACTGATTTCACCATTAAAGTTGCAGTGGCAAATTAATTCTAGTATTTCCTAATATTTGTGCACTTGACCTTACAACATTCGCATTAAATGTGTATGTGTTTTAGTATCAAGGGTATGTAATTCACTGTCTTATAAACATTTGAGAGTTTGAAATTCTGTTCATTTAAAATAAATTAATTTTTTTCCCTAACGGATCTAACTTGTAACTATTTTTTTCTCATACTTACTATATTATAGATTCACTCCTTCCCCAAAAATGGGGATAATTTTAACAGAATAATTTTCTCATTTGTGAAGAAAGTGAATTTTTGCCTTCTTCATAATTCTGACATGAGGATTATAAAGCTTTAGCTAAATATGTTGTCATACGAATATTAGGAAATATATAAATAAATTATGCAGCTGATATAATCTATCCGAAACTTTAACGAAGACCTACTCATCAGACAAGAATCCCAACTATCAGGATTACCATTCCCCTGATGTTCTCATTTCACGTATTTCGAAGATCCACACACAAATGAAATCAAGAGCTTCTGAAGTACTTAAAGTCAGAAAGCTCTATCTAGTCAAAGCAGGAGGTAAGAATTGAGTATAACTTCAATCCAAAGCTATTCTGGCAAATGTTTCGCAGTGGGGGTGTTCTATACAACACGGCACAGCTGTTCTTGTTCTTGCTACCAAAATCACTGAATTACTGTTCTGATTATCAAAAACACTGTGTAACTAAGTGATACAGAACTAGAGAGATCTTAAGGTCTAGTCAGAAACAGCCAGAAGCCATTATCAAGTGAGAATTGTTTGGTGGTCTCACAATTGTGAAGTGTTGAGCCCTCTCATCCATAAACTACCACCTTATCAACTCTTCTGCTCCTTAGGCTCCTAACTGGGAACTTCATTCAAAGTATTTATTATTGCTGCACTCCAACCTCAAAAGTACTCTTCATAATAGATATTCTAATGATTGCTCTAAAAAATTCCTTCACTGTTCACACAGAAATGTTCCCCGATGTATGATAAATTTTGCATTAGGGTGAGGAGGGGAGGAAAGGGGAGAATATTTTTTTTTCCTTGGCCCTCTGCATCTTTTGATGCAAAGAAGTAGTCCTCTAGACAGGAAGGAATCTTCTGCTTGAGACACTGCAGCAGAGAGAGTAGTCTGCATGCACAGGCAATGGAGTTGTTCAGTTTGTCCACTCCTTGGATCAGACCAAACAGATAATGAGATTCTTAGAAGAGCAAGAATCTGTCTGCTACCCTTCTTACCCCAGGTATCTACTTCCTTACCAATCAAACCCAACCTTTGGACACTGCTAGGTATTAAGAAGGATGACTTATTAAAGCTGTTAATCTACACAAGTGAACTAAAATCTTTCTCAGAAAAACTCTTCCATAAATTTTGGATGAAGCTCAGATCAGGAAAGATACTGGAAAAAATAGGATACTCTGCTGTTGCCAGCATTAAAAAGGTTCAATTCTGCCATCAAGATAATAGTATCAGCAGGTCATAGCACAAAGAAGAGAGATTTTCTATTTTTAACTCTGAACCTTCCATAAGTTCAAAATTTAATGTGTATATATACATTAATTAAAATATAAAGAATACTTTAAATATATACTTCTATATACCCTATACTAAAATATAAACATACACTCCTTTTAACATAGACTATTAACTCACACGCACATTATGCTATACTTCTATTTTCTAAATATAAACATAATTTAATACGATTCCTCTTATGCATTCAAACCTCTCTTCTGGTTCCAGTCATGGGCATCACCAAGCTGAGCAGCATTATATGCATATCCATCTTGTTGACGAAAATAATCATCGGTGCTGAATACAATGCCATCACGACTTTGACCAAGCAAAATACTGTTAAAAAAAGGAAAATGCAAAAATATTTTAACTTTTATTTTTCAGATAGAAAAAAAAAGACACAGGAAAAAAAAATAGCTTAAATAAATGTAACTGTGCCCTATTTCTGAACTTCTTGCAAACTTCGAACAGGTTTATAAAAGTACACTCATATGTATTACCAATAATTCTAATGCAAATTAAAGCAATATATTTTCTCCCTTCTACTATTTCTGTATTTGTTGTTTCTTCTCCTCCACCCCCAAGAGATGTTTGTACCCATCTAAGTTATGGTTATATTGCAGTAAGTTCTAAGTACCTCATAGTAATTAATGTATTTACTAACATTTTCCATATCAATTCTCATTTGGAATTACCTCTGGAAACCAAACCGATCATGAGGAATCTGGATGCAGCTGAGAAATGAACTGGATGTTCAAATCCTTTTTGAGCACCTTAAACTCTCAACATGACCTCTTCTGACCTTTGCCCATGCTGCTTGCACGTCCAATGTGGGTCGAACAGGAACGAACAGTAAAGAAAACTACTAATGTTTACAGCAATTTGCCTATTTTCAGGAAAAAATAAAAGATCACAATAAACTTTCAAGATTGTCCTAACGAAAGGCAGGATTACAGAAGAGTGTCCATATTCCTTCAAGATTCTATACTCTTCTATTCCAGTTCTATGTCTTCTCCCCCAATCCTGGCGAGACAGTCTTACTTGCCTCTATTTTCTCACCAACGCTGGCACTCACTGGATCAATAAGCCACTGGAATTCATGCTCAAAAGAAAGCAATCATTTTCTCCTTTTTTTTTTTTTTTTCCTGGGTTACTTTTCTGAAGCTTTAGTAGTTGAGCCTATTTAAGAAAAGGCCCCCAAAGGTGATACATTAAAAGTGGCTAACCATCAATGAAGATCTCCCCTGGTTGAGTAGCAGTAAGCTGCTTACATGGGTTACCACGTCTTGTGGAACTGTAGTTCCAGCCTAACAGATGACAAGAAATTTAAGATAGGATTCTTTCATATCTCAGTTTCTATCAGGGAATTATATTGTTTTTCCCCTATCATTCATACTTTAGTGCTAATAGGGTGATAGGAAAGCCATGCATTTTACTATTCCTGCATGTATTACTTCAAATCAGGAGAAAAACAATCACTTCTCGAATCACTTAAACCACTTGATTAGAGTGTTTTAGCTTGGTTTCCTAAGGCAATGCCATTCCATGGTGACTTCTGGACATATAGACCAACTTCAACAAAATCTGACAGAATATTCACTCAAAAATACTATGAATTTTAATGGGGGGAAAACAAACAGACAAACCAAAGCAAAACAAATTTGTAAACAAATGGATAAAATGCAGAGATTCAAATTAGAATCCATAAAAATAAAAAAGAGAAAAAGATTGCAATGCAAATTTCACATTTACCCAGTCTTTTAGGCCTGCCATTTCCAAGCAACATAAATATTTTATTGGCTTGAAGTTTACTTCATTTGTAGGTCAGAATAAGTTGCATTACATTTTGCTTCTTGCACAGCTAACATTAAAGATTACGGGAGAAATTTAAGTATACTTCAGCAAACAACAAAAGACACTGTGGAGGAGCCAATGAGGGTAAAAAGGGGAACTCAGAGAGACACAATTGAAATGCTCACTGTTAACAAATTTATTTTTACTCTATGTTGTAATATTTTATATTACTGATAATACGTTTATTAATTACAGAACTTATTGTAATGGGTGATGTAGGAATACTATAAAAATCCATTAAGCTTTTCTAGAATTCTGTATTTGCATTGTCACAAAATGCCACAGTCAAACCTTCTAGAAGCATCATAGAGCTGACTTTTGGATTGAACTAAAATTCATCCTATATATTGCCCAGGCACGCCAACAAATACCTGTGAGTCAGAGAAACTGATTATAGCAAAGTTACAGGGCATAATTAACTGCTGGTTGATCAATAACATCAGAATCTCTGTCAAATCAAATCCACATTAATCCATCCCAATGAGCAATCCCCATTGTGCCAAATGTAAACTTTATTTTCAGAAAGTCCTTGGAAATTGGGGTTTAAAAGAAAACTTTGTAAAACCGAGACAATAGCACAATTCTGTTTAAAGTCTGATCTACAGAATAAGTGTGATTACAAAACCTCCTTGACTCTTAGTTTTCTACAGTATATTTAAATTTGAAAATAGAAAACAGGCAGTTAGTGCCACAGAGCATTTATAGCCCATTGCAACACTGAGACATCACTGTCCTATGGAAATTTAGGCAACTATTCTGGCTCAGAAATAGGCAATGTACCCAAAGGCTACAAAACCCAAACTGCACTACAGCAAGTGGGATGCACTACTGCTGAGCTGGAACCAAAAAGAACTGGACAAATGCCAAATAATGTAGGGGAACAAATGTATGTTAGTTCTAAGTTACCAAGCTTTCCTCTATATATATCTGCAGGAAGAGTTACTTAAGTTTAATTCCTACACAAGGAATTTGCTATGTTTTGCCACCTGTCACCAACAACAGACCTGTTATGGATCATAGTTTAAAGACTGGGACACTGTATTACATATTAACTTACATTCCTACATATTTATTGTCCCACGACTATGTTGTTGGTTATTTTTGCTTTTAAAATACAGAGATCTGTAACAACAAAATTCAGATTACTGAGGACCAGAAGAAACTACTAATGATGCAACTGTCAAGTCACATGATCAACGCTGCATACAAGCTGTTTTTTCCTTCTTGCTCTTTCTCCCTTTTCCAGAGTATTAAGGTTACCTCAGGATAAATAGCAATGCTATTTCAGAAAGCAGAGCATGATACACCAAAAGTAAAGCCACTTTTTTTGGACATTGTTCAATAATTATTTTTGTTAGAGCCTGTGTCTTTTAATAGGATGTGTATTACACTGGTTTAAGAGAGCACAGAAGGATTCAAAGCCCATTTTTGTTCTAAGTAGATAAAATGGCATCAGTAAGTCATACACCACACACAACAGCATTTTTTCATATCTGTTCCTCTCTTGTATAAACTATTTAACAGGAATTTATATTCATTAAGTTACATGACCATGATTTCAACATGGCCCAATTTTCTCATTTACAGTATGCTACATTTGCCAATTAATAATGCTAGAAAAACTGGATCCATCTTCCACTCTCACTTTTTGTGTGATGAATGTATATATACACATCTTAGAGTAAGGACCATCTGCCTTAATAAAAGAGATAGCAAATAATAACTGGGATTCTTCTACTAGCTGAGTAGATAGGCACACCCCTACAGCTCCTAGGAGCCTGACCATCAGGTTTCTGTAGGAAAATACATGAACTGATTAATCAACACTAATGGGACTAATGGGACATTTATTTTTATTTTTATTTCTAGGAACTGACTCTGTTTGCTCAGTGTTCTGGAGAATAATTCACTTACTCAAATTCTTCTGTTGTATCTTCTAAACATCATTAGTTGTATAATAAATAAACACAATGATAAGGGTTTGGGAATCTTGCAAACCCATCAACGAAGTTTATTCTTGAAATATTTTGTTATTATTCCTTGAAGTTCAGAATACGTCACAATTTCTTTATGAACCTATATAACTGATATAACAGATTTAATACATTAAACTATGTTTGCAAGAATAATCCTAGAACTACAGAATTTGGGAAGGCAAAGTGACTATCAAAGAGGCCAGAGTAACAGAACCCTTACCCTAATACACAACACACAAGCTATCACAAAGTAATGAGTTTATAAACGGAAACTTCAATTATTACATCAATGATCGTAGCCTGTTTATAAATTGTGAATTAAATCATAAAACATAACATTTTAAAAGTCTGACAACTACCTCTTTCAGAATTCATAGCATTTAAACTTGTAAAATTTTAAATACAAACATATTTGTCGACATCATATGGAATAATTCACATATTTCTAACATGTATTTGGAAATAAAATTTATCCTGAGCTCATGAACCAGGAAACAGAAACAACAAAAAGCACATCTATGCAAAGCATCATTACTATCTAAACCCACAAAGAGATGATATTCCACTTTTGAGACATGAAGAAAGAAAAAAAGTAAGATAAATACATTTCTAACAAGAGAGTCAAATTACAGATCAGTCAGCATCAATATGTGCACATGCCTGAAACGAGTAGCAGTATTATCCAACTGCTGTAATCCACCTTTTTCACCCTAAACCTTCCCCGCAATTGAACACCCACCTTTGAACATAGTAGCAAAGTGAAATTAAAGCGGATATAAAAATTAAAACAGCTCACTACTTTTTCCAGACATGCTATCTGATCTAATAGAAGATATTAGCTCGATGTACGAAACTCATCTTGAAACCAAAATGCTCACTCTAACTACTCAGCAAACCGATACACACTTTTTCCTGTGCACGCGTGCATACACACACACACACAAATCCTGCCTTAATTTTTCTTCAAAACTAAAATGGTCCCTCAACCTGAATTCTGGCTAGCCTACTTTGATAGATGATTTTATAATAAAGATGATCTCTTAGAATCTAACAATTCACCTATTTAAAATAGCTAACATATCACAGATGAGGAAAAAAAAAAATCTGTAGCATTACTAATGTAATGTAATGTAATGGCTACGTAAATGCCACTTTAAAAGCATTGCTTGTAACACTGTTTAAAGAAATACATAATTAGAAACAACAGCGCACAACTGTTTCTACATTCTGCTATAAATACTAACTCCAACTCTTCCATTCAGGAGATTGAGCTCTCAAGAAGAATGGCCCCAGATAAAGATGACTGTCTTTATATACTCATGACAATGGATTTAATTCAAAATGTATTTCTTAAATGACCAACGTTTGATCTTTCAACCTCATTAAGCTCCTTTTTACTCAAATTAACATTCAGATATTTATGAAGGAATGAAAAATTGCAATTGCTGCCAACTTCAGTAGCAAAATATCCTAAAAATCCAAGTCTGTTTTCTTGTAACTTTTTCCAGCATTATAAGATCACATTATCATCTACTTCTAATTGTAGCAGACTTCTGTTACTTGGGCTAAAGATATCATTGCTGGGTATCTGTCTGGCCAAATTGCTTTAGAAAATTTTTAACTAAACGGTCAATCACTTCCAAAACCAAGGAAGAAATACAGCATTTTTATCATGTCTCATTATTTCAAGCTTTTCTCTGAGAAGCTTTGGATTGAGGAAGTGAAATCTGGCCAAGTACATGCGTTTGCTTTTCCTGCAAAAATTTTTTGTAAACCTGACTAAGCTGTAGGACTTTAAAATGTCATGTGCACAGAAAATAATAGTACAAGGTACCCAATTTTTGTACAAAGTAGAGCAGAAAATGCAAAGATTCTCACTGCAGTAAGCCCATTCCTGAACACAGCATTCTTATAGTGGCAGGAAGCCGATTCGGTACCAATACTGCATTGTAAGAACATCTTTCTCCCCACACAATCTTAAGAATGGCAAGAGAAGGAACAAAACTGGCCTAAAATAGGAAGGACATGGGAAGCATAGTGGTACAAACACTGCAACTTGATACTGGCAGCAGAGCTAGGAAATAGGGACAAGGGA